TTCCTTCCTTCCTTCCTTCCTTCCTTCCTTCCTTCCTTCCTTCCTTCCTTCCTTCCTTCTGTCCGTCCTTCCCTCCCTCCCTCCCTCCCTCCCACCCAGTGGCTAGAATGCAGTCTTGCAGGTTAACTCTGCCCACGGTTTAGAGTTCAATCCTGAACAGCCCAAGTTTGACTCAGCCTTCTGTCCTTCTGAGGTTGGTCAAATGAGGACCCAGATTATTGGGGGGGGGGGAAGATTCTGTAAACTAGAGAGGGCTGGAAAGCACTACAAAGCGGTATATAAGTCTAAGTGCTAATGCTGGAGCTATTTTCCTCCCTCCCTCCCTCCCTCCTTCGTTCCTTCCTTCTTTCCTGTTCTGTCGGATGCTTCCCAGAAAAGCACTAAGCCAACCCTTGAGTCCCGTCAAAACCTCTTTTATTAAAGTAATGTGAATTTAGTTCATTCACATTCAGCCCATCGCTTGGCAAACAGTCTTGCAGAGGTATACTAATTAGCTCAGACCTTATCTATCCTGGAAAGCTGCCTGGTAAATAGTTCCACACTCAGTGCTGACAGGGAAGGGCTAGGTTACACAGACAAATCTTCACGAGGCTGGAACAAACGACCGAATGAGCGAGTTGTTTCCTGCAAAAGCCCCTCCCCCTTTCCTCTTCTTTTAATCCTGATGGGAGGGGCCACTCATCATCCACCTGTGGCCTTACTCCCATGTCAACCCTGAGTTCTTAATTGTTCCTTTCTTTTGGCAGCTCTGCACATGCGCAGGCTGGGAACCGGTTCCAGAAATTCCCCCCACCTCACTGCTGTCTGAGCCCGAAGGCAGCTGATGACTGCCAGCCTGCCCTGGCTCTATTTCTGCCTCTGATGCAGAGCCCTCCAAGACTGACCCGGGTTCCTCCCCAACCTCCTCACTAATGTCCAACTCTGCTGCCAGCTCCGCCAGTTGCTGGCAGGCCACAATGTTTCCTTCCTTCCCTTTCTCCCCCCTTCCTTCCTTCCTTCCTTCCTTCCTTCCTTCCTTCCCTCCCTCCCTCCCTCCCCTCCCTCCCTCCTCTTCCTTCCTTCTTTCCTCCCTCCCTTCCTTCTTTTGTGCAAGTAATTGGAATTCAGTATTGCAGGCAGACTGTGCCCACTGTTTGACTGGTTCAAGGTTGACTCAGCCTTCTGTCCTTCCAAGCTCGGTAAAGGAGGACCCAGATTGTTGGGGGGCAAGAGTCTGACTCTGTCAACAGCTTAGAGAAGGGCTGTGAAGCACCGTGAAGTGGTACATAACTCTAAGTGCTATGGTTATTCTTGCAAAATAAAACACCTTTCTCTGATTCCCCTCTAGAACGTACCCACGATCGGCATGATAGCCACGGTTCTAGCTACCCATCTATGTGATGAAGTGAGCTTGGCCGGGTTTGGCTATGACCTGCATCAGCCCAAAGCACCACTGCATTATTACGAGAGCGTGTGCATGGTGGCCATGAAGAGGCAAAATATGCACAACGTGACATGGGAGACGCAAATTCTGCAACAGCTGGTCAGGGAAGGTGCCATCAGCGATCTCAGCGGGGGAATCGACTGCCACTTCTGCGAGGATCGGGGCTAGCGGTTGTCTCAGAGATCGACTTCCGCGTGTCCCTGCAAGCTTCCCTTGGTTGAAAAATACATTTGTATTCCACGCAGATCACGCGAGTCAACTCAAGTAGGCCATAATGTTTCAATGTTCGCTATTTCATATAAACATGGGTCGTGACTCCTTGGACTGTGCTTCACAGCTAAATGGAGTCGTATATAGGTCAGTGCAACGTACAGCACTTCTGAATGTTTTTGTCTGGACACCTGGAGAATGAATTCTGAGTAGTCCTTAACTTACGACCAAATTAGGGCCAGAATTTCCGCTGCTATGCAAAGGCATTTTGCTGAGTGCCGGGTGCCAGATTTGATGAGTTTTATTTAATTTTTGTCTTGCAGTGGGTATTCAGCAAATCAGTGCAATTTTGAAGTGAACCCAACTCCCCCCCCCAATTAATATGATGACCCAGGGCGTGACACAAAAATAACACAGTCACAAAAGTAGAATAAATTCCCTTTAATGCCTCCAACTTGGCTCCCAATGTCCAATTATCCTCGGCTGGAGATCAATCTCTTCCAAAAACAGTCTACCAAGGGCAGAAATGCAGTCCGAACTCAAAGTAAAGATAATTAGCAATACAAAAACCAGCACAAACCATACTGAAATAATTAACACGGCAGGCCAGGATGATAAATTGCAGACTTTCAAAGGATAATGCAGCACCCACAGTTGGGAGGATGCCAAAACCCAGATAATGCATGCTTTGCTTCTAGCAAGGAGCTGCATGCAGACGCCTCTCTTATATCATGTTTTCCCAGCTGCAGCTAATGAAGGGAATCAGGGCCTTTTTCTCCCCCGTAAGCCACATAACTCATGTTGCTCCCTTCTCCATTCCTCCCTGCATGCCCTAGGATGAAGAGGGGTGGGCCTGGGTCTTCCTCTGAATGCCCAACCGGACTGTGCCCTTCCCCAGTTTCCTCTACAGCCACTCCCTGTCAGCTGCTCAATCTCCCCCTCAGAATTAGACTCCAACAAGGGCATGACAATTGACTTTTGATTGTCGGAAACCGACTGGGAAGGTCTCAATTTTTTATTTCTTCATCAAATTTAGAATCTGCAATCTCCACCCCAGCAGGGCTCTTGGTGGGGCAGAAGTAAAATATGAAAACATAAAAGTTATGTAAAGTTTAGATAAAAGGCAGAGGTTGTTACAAGTCAACATTAAAAGCCGATTAAAAGATGGTGGGATCTGGAGGGGCGCTAACCAGCTCCATGCAGCGTTCTCCTCTCTGAGAAGTTAGCAAAATGGACAGCGGAGGGTCTGCTTCACATTTATGACAGCGGAGGGTCTGTTTCACCTCTTGGGGAGGGGTGGAGAATGTATCACAGGGTGGAGGCTCTTTTCCTGGACCCCACCAGTCAAGAATTATTTAATTGATGGGGTTAGGAGAAGGAGTGGTAGAACTAAGAGGCGGAGTCAAAAGAGGAATTAGCCTAGAATCCCTATTTATTTTACTTGGTTTGTCAATTGCTTACAAGATAATAGGTATAAGTAAAGACATAGTTATGAATACATGGATACATATAAGAAAAATAAAAGAAACAATAGGACAGGGACGGTAGGCACGTTGGTGCGCTTATGCACGCCCCCTACAGGCCTCTTAGGAAAGGGGTGAGGTCAATAGTAGACAGTCTAAGGTTAAAGTTTTTGGGGTTTGGGGAAGAAATCACAGAGTCAGGTAGAGTATTCCAGGCATTGACTACTTTGTTGCTGAAGTCGTATTTCCTGCAGTAAAGTTTGGTGTGGTTAACTTTGAGTTTGTATCTATTGTGTGCTCTTGTATTGTTATGGTTGAAGCTGAAGTATTCATTGACAGGTAGAACATTGCAATGTATGATTTTATATACTATACTTAGATCGGACCGAAGGCAGCATAGTTCTAGGTTTTCTAGGTCTAGAATTTCAAGTCTGGTGGCATAAGATATTCTACAACGAGTAGAGGAGTGGAGAACTCTTCTTGTGAAATATTTCTGGACTTTCTCAACTGTGTTAATATCAGATATGTAACGTGGGTTCCAGACTGATGAGCTGTATTCGAGTATTGGTCTAGCAAATGTTTTGTATGCTCTAGTTATTAGTGTAATATTACCAGAGAAAAAGCTACGTAGGATTAGATTAACAAACTCTTAACGCCTTTTTGGCTATGTAGTTGCAGTGGGCTCTAGCACTTAGATCATTAGAGATGAATATGTAGCCACAAGCAAACTTAAGTCCAATCCTTATCAGGATTCCGGCAGTTACCCCCAATTAAATCCTGAGTCTCGAGCCAAACTTCCAAAACTTAAAAAGGATTTATTGGGAGTTAACATGCCCGGCACTGCCTGGGTGTAGCCGACTCTGAGACACTTCATTCATTGTCACCCTTGACCCTGGTTTTCCCCCACCCCCTGGGTGTATCATAATCCATATTCTCCAATGAGACACATCCATAGCCCAGAGTCATCAATCATGCTCTCCAGTTAGAATTTTGTGCGGCAGAAACTTCGGTCACCTAGTTACTATTTTTGAAAACATTTATGGAATGCAGTTTCAGTTTGCAAGCTGCTGCATTGCTCCTCTTTCCCTTTCTGTTGGCAACTCTAAAAAGACCAGAGAAATATTTTATGAGTTGACAACCCCTTTTGAATGCCATTGACTCTTATCTGACTCCATGCACGTGTTGACCATTAGATGAGTAGATTCCCATGCACAGGCTTTTATCAATAAATTAGTTTAATTAAATCTGCACCTGTGGACCAGGTCTTTCAGACTCAGCATGGGTTCCACAGAGGACAGGTTGGTTATAGATTGTAGATTGTAGATTGTTCTGTAGGTAACCTGGCTCCATGCCATGTAGGGTTTAATGGCCATAACAAACATCTCGGATTAAACCCAAGGAGCAAACTGGCACCCAGTACAGCTTGCACAGCAACAGAGTTATAAGTGCCATTCTCAGGGCGCCCAAGATTGCTCGCGCAGCTTCATTCTGGGGACCACGGAAGCTTCGTATGACTCCGGGATGCTGTGGCCATAAGTTCTGCATTTTAATTACATGACCTGTCATGCCCCTGTCGGAGTCTGAACCCAAAGAGGAAGATGAGCAGCTGACAGGGAGGGGGAGTGTGGCTCCATTGGCTGTGGAGGAAACTGGGGAAGGGCAAAGTCCTGCTGGGCAGAGCAGGAGAGAGGGAGAACAAGGGAGAGGGAGTTCAGAGGAAGACTCAGGCCCACCCCCTTTTCATCCTAGGGCATACAGGGAGGAACAGAGAAGGGAGCAACGGGGGATGCGTGGATTACAGGGGAGGAAAGGGCCCTGATTCCCTTCATTAGCCACAGCTGGGAATGACAGTTTAAGAGAGGTGCATGCTGAGTGCAGCAGCTGCTGGGAACAAACGTGAGTTTATCTTGTGTTGACTTTGCTTATCTGTGTTCCTGGCATCTTCCCAACTGTGTTGAGTTATTGCTGTGCCTTCACATCTGGAATTCTTGCTCCTGCCCTGCTGAACTAATTACCTCATTTTGCCTTGATTGGACTTATAGTTACAGTTTTTGTTGACCACGTTTTGGACTTGATTCTCTGCAGCCAACGGCTCTTCCTGGGAGAATTTTTCTCCAGCCAGAAGGTAACCAGGACATTGGGGGCAAAGTTGGAGCTAATAAAGGGAGTCCTACTGATTATCTGACTGGGTTGTCTTGGTGCCACGCCCCTTTGGGTCATCACATGACCCTGGGGATGCAGCAGTGGTCCTAAGGGCGAGATTGTAAGTCACTTTTGCAGTCCCATTGTAACTTTGGGTCAGTAAGCGAACAGTCGTAAGCCGAGGATCACCAATATAAGTTATTCGTTCAAGGGATGGGATAAAAATTCTGTTACAATTGTGGATTACAGTATTATTTTTCTGGGTAAGTTTTTTAATCTGTTCTACTCTTTTTATCTGCTTTCACACCCAGATGGATAGTGTACCTATGTAAGATGAATAGTGCAGAGGCACCAATCAAGATTGGTCCATAATTATAATATGCCATTTATATTTTTTATGGGAAAATAAACTTGGGAATTAGAGTGATGCTGCATTATCAGGGGCATAAGAAAAGAGGGAAATAAAGAGTTTATTGTAAGTGGGGTAGGAAGCGTTATTGGATGGGTGGGTGGGTGGGAAATTGCCCCCTCACCCATCTCCCCTTCCTTTGCTCCGTGGGAATTTTCAGAAGGCAGAAATAAGAAAAAAAATACCGTCACTTTTGTGAAAGACACTTTGCTGTATGGTCAAAATTCAATTCCTTCTTTGCAACACCTCTGTACATTAATGTACATTAATATCCCCCAGGCAGCTATCAAATAGCACAAAAGCAATAAAAGCACAACACAATGTAGTTATCACAAGCCTAGAAAGTAAAACAACAACAACAACCCACTGAATTGTTACCATGTTCCTATGTTCAGGCATTAAGAATCTGGGATAGGAACTTTATTGTTTAATAGAACAATAAGGGTCACGTCTTGGTATTCAGGACACACTGGTTCTACCAGCCCTGTAGGGAACAGAAGACAAGGCCGAGAAATTGACAAAATAATTGTGTCTCATCTTTGAAGGATGCTGGAGGAGTTTGAAATGATCAATTCTTCTTCAATTCCTTGATTTGCAAGTATTTAAATGTGGTTAGTAAATGTGTTTTCACGGGTGGAAAACAGATACCCAACAGAAACAAAAAGAATATGTGGACGTATGTGAAGATTCGTCATCAGTCCACCAGGTCATGGTGCTTTTTCAAGAGGCAACTGGACTTTTTGTTTTTCCTTGAAGACGTTTCGCTTCTCATCCAAGAAGCTTCCTTGCTTCTGCTGAAGTTTTTCCAGAACTGAAGAAGCTGCCTGGCTGAGAAGCAAAGCATCTTCAAGGAAAAACAAAGGAAAATGCAGTTGCCTTTTGAAAAAAGCACCTTTGGGATAATATGGGGAGAATGTAACTAACTGATTTCAGGTTTCTGGGATTCTCTGGGCACACAAACTGTATGGTTTGTTCCTGTATTATGTAAAGTTATGAAACTG